AACATGGAGCCGGTCGGCCGAGCGGACAGCACGCTGGACTTGTGATCCTGTGGTCCCGGGTTCGATCCCGGGCACCGGCGAGAAACAATGGGCAGAGTTTCTTTCACCCTATGCCCCTGTTACCTAGCAGTAAAATAGGTACCTGGGTGTTAGTTAGCTGTTACGGGCTGCTTCCTGGGGGTGGAGGCCTGGTCGAGGACCGGGCCGCGGGGACACTAATGCCCCGAAATCATCTCAAGATAACCTCATCTCAAGATAACATACTCCTTTTGCTGTTATAACACACTATACACACATTATATATAAATATCTACATTTGTGTTCATCATAGTAAACCACTAAGCTGGTATGGTGATTCCAGACAATAACATGTTGCCACACACCAGCCTGAAGACGACGCTATCTTCCTCCCTCACCAACAATACTCCTCCTATCATACTATGCACATCACTAATTCTCACCACAATCCTGCTATTGTCAGAATCCTGGTCACTAAATCCTGTAAATGAATAATTTTCCATGTTTATTCTGTAAAGGAACATGAGAAGCCGTTTGAAGAATTTTAGATGAACGAGATAACGGCAGTGTGCTGTGGCTAGCACTGTAAACATCTTGAACAGCATTTATTCACTTATATTTGAATATTGTACAGTCTTTATTACAGAGTCAGGCTCTTCTGTAATACTATCATGACTAAATAATATCAGATACAAATACTGTATATTAGAACATTTTTAGGCGATGCTGTGGTCACAAGCTGAACAGCAATGCTGTTAGCTCATGCTTCATGCACCAGCCTTGGTTGCTCACTTAGTACTGAGGCTCTCACACCCGGAAATGTTGCCCACGATTGTTTTTTAAATTGCAGCTGTTTACAAAAGCCCTGAGGAAGCCGATGTGAATCCCATTTAGCCACAGGAGTTTTGAACAAGACACTATACTCTGCTTATATGCGCCCTGAGGTGTCTCAGGCACCACCCATCGAGCACCTCAAGGTGTGTCGCGCAGTATAGTGGTTAAGATGGTACCAATAATTTAGGTGCTTTATTGTATCTATGCATACTGTATGTGCTCTTTGTATTCCCTCTATTTCAGAAATCTCCGGGTCTCACCCAGAAAATGGCATTTCATTACATTCAACGTAGGTTTTCTGGGGGGAGCTCCTTTGGCTTCCTGGAGCTACTTACCTACGTTGAATGTAATGAAATGAAAACAAAAAAGGGACTTACCCGGGCAGAGGTCGTTCATCACATCTCAACACGAAGTTGAGACAACTGGCTGCAACCGCCGACCCAATGCAACACAGGCTTGACCAGGCCCCGGGACACTGAAAAGGTAGCAAGCGGCCAGGATCCTGTTCGACCTACAAAATCCCCGTGCCCGAATGTCAGCCCAAGATATGTTACCAAAAATGACAGCAAGTGCAGTAAACTTACGAACGTTGTGGGCCCGGGGATAAACCGCAGGCTGGCTAAACAGAATAACCCTGTGGATGACCTGGGAGACCGAGAACAGGGAAGAAGGGAAACCGGGTCAATCCAAAACACGTCACCGGTCACTGAGGCCGTGGTGCGCAAATAATGGTGTAAAGACGCAAACTGACAACACATGATGCCTCCCCGGCTTCACCAACCAACCATCGGCAACCCACGAGCTGCTCCGGAAAGCAGCAGTCTCATTCTTTGCCAGAAAAGGAGACGGCTGCCAAACAAAACGATTATTAATCCAAAAGAGCAGAAACCACTGCGCCGGAGGAGAGCATGAAGCTCTCCGACCTGGCCCCCAGAGGCCACTGCCAACAGGAAAAGAGCCATCGACAAACAATCTGGAATCGAAGGGGCCATCACAAACCGAGGGGGAGAGAGAAAGGAGAGCACCCGATCCAAAGACCAGTACGGCTCAGGCGGTGCATGCTAGCAACTAGCTGCGTAAATACCCTGCTCCCCTACTAGTGACGAATACTACCCCCCTACCCAAAGACAAACAGAGGAGCAAGAAACCCCCCAGCTGACTCCAAGGGCGGACAAGTACCAAGCAGTAATTGACACAACGGGGGAAGCCCCCAAGGTGACATATGGAAGGAGGCCCCAAACCCCAAGGGCAATACTTAGAGGGTGCTTAGGGAAGGGGACCCTCAGCACATGCAGCCACAGTACCTACAGGGAGCTTAGGGAAGGGGACCCTAAGCACTAGCAGCCCCTGTACTTGTGAAGATACTCCCAGCTTACACACCACTGGATATGAGCAAGAACAGAAGAAATTCCGGAGCTGGAGGTACACAACCAAAGCCCACCGACATCAGCCATGAATTGGAAGGCTTGGGTAGCCGACGGAGGGGTCTGGGGCTCCCCCTTCCCCCTCCCAGGGAGGGGGGTTGCACAGATGGTGGCACGTTGGTAATGGGATGACGTCATGCTTGTTTGCTATCTATCCACTTGTTTCAGTTTTGGTAGCAATTCTTAACCAGAATGGTGGGTGTTTTGGGGCGCCTATCTATCTGGGTGCTCGACCCAGTCAATGGCAGACAGAGTACAGTACTTCTAAATTATACATAAGGTGTCTCTATAGGCCATTGCTCCTCGCACCTCTCTGAGGTGGCCAGACTCTGGTTCGTGGTCCCCAGTAGGCCTAGAACTCCATGTACATTGGCTGATCCCCAAAGCTAATACTCTGTATAAGCCCAGATAGCTCCGGGGAACCAAAGGGGCTCCCCCCAGAAAAACAGTGTTTTTGCTGTTAAAACATTATATACACACACATCATATATATTTATCTATCAACATAGATATGGTGGTATGGTATGGTGATGAAAGATGCATTCTGAAGTGAAGCAAAAGAAACACCTCTGAAGAACCCCCCAAAGAAGGAAATCACTCCCTGCAACTCACGCATTTCATTATGGCAGAAGCCATAGGAAAGAAGAGCGTTGTCAGCAAGCAAAGATGAATCAGGGACTTCATACCAAAGCCAAAGAATAGAAGTAGACCTGTACTCAAACAAGGCCAGGTCCATAAGAGAAGCAAGGTCCTGATCTTGCAGGAGGAATTGAAGAATATTTACCTGTGTCAAAGGAGAAAGGCAGGATAAGAGACACCTCTGAAAACAAGTTGTTTCTATGGAACTGAATGGTACATGGAAGTACACTTTACGGTAAACAGCCAAGTAATCTAGATCATACATAGAAGGGATCTAGGAGGAAATCCAGAAATCATCCCACTGGAGCAAAACACCCTCGGTGCATGGAATTAAAGTACAGGAAGTCCGAAAGGAATTCATGAACCCTTCTTGGGTTACCCCCCTTTCTAGCCCAGGAGCAGAGCTGTATTCTGCACCCAATGCCTAAGATAGAAAGGTATCATCATTCTACAGAGTAAGATCAGAACAACACAAACCCCCTGTGAAGTGCAAGGCTCCAAATCCCAGCGGGAATAGACGGCTCAACTGTCTCCACCTTCGAAGTGAATATGGCAGTTCTTGGAGGTGGCCAAGCTACAAAGTATAACCCTGACTGGATTCCAAAGCCCTCAAACACATCAGAACCCAAACCAGGTGGGGAACACCAGACAGACAAGCCACACTAACAGGGAAAGAAGGGGGAAGGGGAGACTTAGAGCAGATGGAATTCACCAACACCTACCTCTCTGGATCATTAAACACCACTAGGGGGGCCAACTTTAAAGCATCCAATTGAGTGCCAAGACACAAACCATGAATGCAGGAAAAAGGAACCCGCAAAGTGGCAGCTGCCTGATAAACCTCCTGTCATGGGACAGGTTCAGATAAAATAGAGACCCAGTGAGTGCAAATGTCACAAGACCCAGAGTCAAAGGTGTCAGTGACCAAACAGGAAGCATGATTGTCTGCATGTAGCAAAGTCAATGCACCCTATAAAACTCACAAGGAGCAAGTGCAGGTTTGATATGTTGATCCATTACAAGCTGCACTACAGACCAGCAGGAAAGTTACCAGGAACTGAAGGAATGTAACCCAGCAGAACACTCAGGAACTAGGGATACTTGCTAAAAGAAGTGACATCAAACACAGCCTAAAATAAACTTGGCTAGAAAGGACATCAGTGGCATGACATGAACAAGCATTTGAACCCTAGAGCACCCCACAACAACATTTTACCCAGAATAAAGGCCTATAGGCTTCCAACAGAGCCTATGAAGCCTACAGGCTTTACCCACACAGCCTATAAATGAATTAAAGACTCATACACTGCCCAGGGCTAGGCTCTACAAAGAAGCCGAGTATCTCAGGGCAAACTCCTAAATACACCAGAGAAGTTACTCTCACTCCTCTCTGCAGTCAGTGCAGGAGCAACGCTAAACAAGTGCTTAGGAAAGGGCTGTCCTAAACACATGCAGCCTATAATGAATATGAAATCAAGTTTATGCAACAAGTAAGACTTGTAAACACATGAAACTGAAGCAAATATTCAAGGTTATTATTAGACAGAGTTCAATGGATGTGCTACACATATCTCCAAAAAGATGTGGGACTTGCTACAGCCTGGCAACTCAGGAAGGTCTGACTGCTCAGACATTAGTGACAGGATTGTCTCCTTGCTGGCATGGGAGCCTGGAGCTCCTGGGATCCACCTATCAGCAGCCATTCACAACTAGGTGGTCTGAGCTAGTTTAGAGAAAATCATTTGTAAGGGGATTTGAATGTTTTAGTGCTTAATTTCATGTGAACTGTGTAGTTGTGTATTGCTTGGCTGAATCTCTGGATATTTTCTCAGTGAGCATAATTGTAATAATACCCTGCTCACTGTGCTTCTATGAGAGGTATTAGGTTTAAGCTCTTGTCCTTGGTAGGCTATTCAGGACTTCTATGGCTGATGTAGCTCAGTAGATGGAAGCCATCTCAACAAGATAGCTTCAGGGAGTCATCAAAAGGCTTCACCAGAAAAAAAACTTATTTAACATTAAGGAACCACAATACTTCACAGGTTGAGTAAGCATGACATATTGGGGGGAAAAATTCATGATTACCTTAAAGCGGATAACATCTTCCATGCGTGCTGTTTTGCCATCTGCCACGCATGACTGGAAAAAGGAGGGCGCAACCGACACACCTAAGGCCTCTGAAGTCATCCCTGTCTGCGCTCTACTCGCATTCATGGCTATCACTCTGTTGTATTATAACATAATCTCAGTAATTAGGCACATTTCAAACTTTTATTACAAGTACTGGCAACACCTTCACTCTCAGGCTAATACAAAAGCATCAAAATTTTAAATTTGATAAACAATCCTTATTACTTTGATAATTGAATTTTCAAACTGTATGAGCATGTGTAGCAAATAAAATTTTCAACACACACACAGGTAAAGTCAAGTATACACAGTACATAGCTATATCAAAATCAATATTAACATTCACCACCGTTTCAAATTTAGTTTAGAAGCTCAAACAAATTTCTCTCCAAACACCTACAGCCATATACACATCGGTAAAATTGTCATGCTGGCATCATCAATCTACATGCCACAGCTTCAGCTACATTTACCTTAAAATTTTATTCATGATATTAGATCAGAATATTAACAAGAAAATACTTATATTTTTATGATGCTTTCCTAACATTTTAATTTAAAGGATTTTAAAACCTAGAAGTGATTTACAATAATATTAAATAACAATAGTTTTCAATATAGTCCTGCATGTCTGATTCAGTAATTGTTATGAATTAATTATATTTAACCTTATTTGCTGGGTGTTAGTCAGCTGTCACGGGCTGCTTCCTGGGGGTGGAGGCCTGGTCGAGGACCGGGCCGCGGGGACACTAAAGCCCCGAAATCATCAAGATAACCCTCAAGATAACCCCTTCACTACTAATTTTGAGACATGCAAACTGGTAAAAAGTGTCTCAGTCCTCAAAACAAATGACTTGGAAGATACCTAAATAATGTATATTTAATCTTGATCATTTATTTTTACCCGAGATATATAATTATACAGTATATGTATTCATGCACATCACTTAAAAACCAGCATTTAATATAATGAAACGTCAGTTCCTGGGTGAGCCCGAGGCTTCCTGAAGCTACCATACTGATGTGCCATACTAGAGTGTCATCAGTTGGAGTTCTTTTTGCCAACCGAGAACCACAAGCCAAAACCTGGCCCCCTCAGAGAGGAGCAGGGAGCAATAACCCATCAATAACTCATGAATACTTTACATTTAAAGTCTATCATCTTTGCCATCATCCAGGGAACAAACCCAGAAAGGTAGGCATAATATATTTGTGACAACTCGTGAGTCTTAAATTGCCTGCGTGACCGCCTCCGGAAGCCTCCCACACAGGCGAACATGTTTCCATGATGTCACACCCCACTTTCTCTACATCACACAGCCAAAGTGGGTTTTCAATTTATTTTTACATATACATGTTCAGGGTAGGGATTTTAACAATATCCATTGAAAAACGTTTTTTTCGGAGCACTTCAATTTTGGCACACCACCAGTTTGTCACAAATGCAGCACAGCACTGGGCAGGAAAGAGTGGCTCAACTGCCTCCATGCCCAAATCGGAATGGACAATCTATGGAGCTACCAAAACCACTTTCGAAGATAAACCCTGCCCAGTCTGAAAACAACAAATGCTTCATAGCCTGATGCAGCGGAGGAAAAGGGCAAACCTTGCCCACTGAGAAAGGAAAAGGGCAAACCTTGCCCACTGAGAAAGGAAGAGGGTAAGCATATGGAACCATGATCATAGTGACCAACACCCCCAAATCTGAGTCGCTAAACACCAAGCAGGGGAGATCCAGACCATCCAACTGGACACAACCTAGCATGTTGTAACACAGAAAAACATTTATGCAATGTGAATGCTGCTCGAGACCTTGGAATATCCATCGAGGAATGAGCGAGAGTTTCCCAATGGAGGTTTCCAGGGCCCTTAGACTCTGCTAAGGGAAGCACAAGGTACTGGGTACCTGAATCCCAAACTACCAAGTGAATAACTAACTGCTGAACCCCTGTGACGTGTACACTCACGGGGACCTAGTGAAGGACCACCAAGCATATATATATACAAGGGTCAACAACCCCCACCAGGAAGAAAACAAAAATACAGTGTAAAAGGAAAACCCCATAAGAGTACAATGTCCCCAGGCGGAACAGAGCCAGCTGTGTGTGTGTGCTTCTCTTCCCAGTCATTTGGGGAGGAAGGGTAGAGGCCAGTGCTCATGCTGTCCACTGGCTCAAGCAGTCAGTTCTGGAGGAGATGCACACACACGAAACACCCCCCAACCAATGACCTGGAAGGGAGGGGGATGGGGAATTAGGGAGTTACCAGAGCTCACCTAGAAATTTACCTTTTATTACATTCAACACTGGTTTTTCTGAGGGCCCCTTATTGCTCCTTCAAGCTATCTACCCACGGAGTAGAAAATTGGACAAACTAGGGAGGAGGAAACTGAGCAAACAGGATTGACCTACAAAGCATCCACTGGGAAAGATTTGGTGTCACATAGGTAGTGGCCAAAAGCTGCCAACAAGCACAGCAAATGATGCATCCCCGGCCAAACCGGGGGTAGCAATATTTTCACCAGAATAGGGGTTTGTTTTGGGATGCTTACCTTACTGGGTGCCTGACCCGGTCGATGGCAGACATAGAATGCTTCCAACCACACAGGGGTTTCTGTAGGTCATTGCTCCCCCATGGCTCTCTGAGGGAGGCCAGGTTCTGGCTCGTGGTCCCCGGTAAGCCCACAGAACTCCATCCACATGACTGATGCCAAAGTCTGACATTAGCATATCAGCCTAGTAAGCTCCGGGGAGCCGAAGGGGCTACCCCCAGAAAATACCTTGCTTTCGACATCGAGGAATCAATGCCTGAAACCAAGGAGTCAGAAAGACCACCTTCCCTTGGTAGAACTCTAAACCGGCCCAGGCCCAGAGAATCAGGACAACTAGGGAAAAGGTACAGAAACTCCCACCGAGACCAGTCCAGCTGAAAAGCATCTACCGAAAGGAACTTACAATCAGGGAACAGTGCCACATAAAGAGGAAGGCCAATTCTAAGCTGCTGCAGAGATCCACAACGGAGCACCTGAACAACTCGCAAAACCAAAGTAAGGAGGCAACGTCAACAGTCCACTCCATGGAGACACGAAGAAACCTGGACTATCTGGGAGAGCATTGGACACTCAAAAGTGAACTGCATTATGCAAACATAGAATTTGTATTTACCTGAAGGTGCCAAAGAGCAGAACAAGTAGATGTTGTGTGACAGCCGGCATAGATGTGATGAGGCGATGAATGTGGTCACGCTGCTGCTCTGTGTCTGATAGCTGAATAATGGAAAATAGCTCTTGCTCACCCTCACGCCCAAAGATTCCCTCTGGTAATTTTCGAAGAAACTTCTTCAGAACAGATGCAATTGTGTAAACCGAGAAATTATCTGTAAATAAACCACATATTTTAGATTAACATTAAATATTTTCTTTTTTTATGCAGCATGTATTATTTTGAAAAGCAAACTAATTACAATATATAGAAACTAATGTCAAATAAAGTATACTATACAGTATTTCCTAATTATATAAATGAACTGTGCTGTTGTATCTGTTATATCAAATGTTTCATACACAGTGTATCAAGAGTATCATAAGTGTAGTGTTAAGTGTAAAGAAGTTTGAGAATTTAAGAAGCCCTTACGAAACGCTTCTAGGCGTCAGACCATTAATAAAAATGAATTTTGGAGAATTGATATTTCCATTACCACTGACAGTGAAGAAAAACATAAGAAATATAGTTAGAAGTTGTATAGTTACTGTTCCAATTTATAAAATGTCATTTGGAGTATTACAATAGTACAAAATGTGAACTTTTTTAGGGCCTAACAGTTCGACCAATAGTTACTATAAGTACTTTCATGTTTGGAGGATGGATTGGGCAAACAAAGCAAAGGAACAGTATCCAATTATCTCACTTTGCCCAGGATACAAACCCATATATCATTTGTTAGGCAAGTATGCTAACCACTACACCACAGGATCCCTCAGGTATGCATTAGTTTGCTCCAACAGTGCATTCATCAACAGCAATGTACTATACTATATTTTCTAAAATTAGTTTTAATGATTAAGACAAACAAAAAAAGACGAGATGACATTGTTTAAGTTATGGATGGAGGAACTCTCATTTTACTGAATAAAGAAAATTAAATTTGGACAGTAGAAAACCGAAAAAAGCACACCAATATTAACAAGACGTCCATTCTGCAAGAAGTGTATCAATTTTTTCATGGATCCCTGATGACCTGGGGCACGAAAGACGTCCTTTTTGGTGGGTCCCTCTTTGTTTAGCTTAAGGATGAGCACCAACAAAGGCCCAGGGATGTCATTCTTGCACACCTGTTCCAGCGATACACCAAACTTCACCCTGAAAAATAGATGTTTATCAATACAGCTTATAAAATCTCAATACAAAAAAGTTGTATAGAAACCAACACCTGTGTACTGTATTTGTGAAATTCATATAAAGAATTTACACTAAGTTTTCACAGTCTCCTGAGTGCTTTGTCAAGGTCTGAGTATGTGATTAGGACAAAACTTGCATCTCAATGTCTAATAAATGATTAGACATTGAAATGTAGGTCTTGTCCTAATCACACACTCAGACCTTGACAAAGTACTCAGGAATGTGTTAAAGACTTTGTGTAAATTCTTCACATAAATATCACAAATACACACGTGTGGGTTTTTATCCTGTTATTATGTCTGTGAGAAGACATTACCATTACTTACAAAAATTAGTGTTATGAAAACTCACTATTTTTCAGTATTACTCTGAAAGTACATAATAATTAGAGTATGTGAGTTTAGTTGGAAGTGTAATGCTACAATGTTAGGGTGAGCCAGGAACTAAAACATGTATTCAATAGTGCACAAATCAAAGTTGTTTGTTAAGCTAAAGATAATGCTATAGTTGCAGTGGTGGGAAGGGGTGGGGTTTGTCGTAGAGGGTGGAGGTTGTGGGTGGAAGTTGTGGGCAGTGGGTAGTTGATGGAAGTTGTGGGTAGTGGGTGGAGGTTGTGGGCAGTGGGTGGAGGTTGTGGGTAATCGATGAAGGTTGTGGATAGTGAGTGGAGATTGTGGGTAGTGGGTAGAGGTTGTGGATTGTGAGTGGTTATGAGTAGAGGGTTTATGTAGTGGGTGGAGGTTGTGGAGCTTGAAAGCCTCTGTTTAGATTCTTAGATGATGTTCTTATACTTGCTAACTTCCCATATGCTGCTGCTGTTATCCTGTTCTCAGGAGCTTCTGGTGTTAAGTGTTGGGATTATGTCTACTCCCAGGGCTTTTTCTCTTATCATTTCTTGAAATTACCTTTCCTTAAGGTATAGTTAAATACAGGTCTCCTATCTCCCTTACCCATTTTCATTACTTTAAGCTTATTTAGATTGAATTCCAATAGCCATTTAACTGCCCATTCCTGAAGTTTGTTAAAGTCTTCTTGCAGCACCCTACATTCCTCTTCAGTTCTTACTCTCCCATTAACTTTACATCATCTGCAAATATCGACATGTACAAGCTCACTTCCTCAGCTAGGTCATTTATATCAATTAAGAAGAGCAATGGTCCTAGGACAGAGTCCTGAAAAACACCACTCTCCTCTCCTCTCCTCTCTCCTTTCTAGGCCTGACATATTCTCTCTGATTATGACCCTTTGTTTCCTGTCCAAGTAATCCCGTACCTAGTCCTGTGCCTTTCCTGTTATCCAAATTTGTTTCTCAATCTTGTGAATAAGTCTTTTGAAAGGAACTGCATCAAAAGTTTTTGGGCATTCTAGAAAGATGTAGTCTAACTGTCCTTCCAACTCTAGTCTTATTTTGGTGACTGTAATAGAATTCAACCACATTTATGAAGCATGACTTTCCCTCTCTGAAGCCATGCTGTTCCTGTTACAAAATTCTCTCTCCCCAAATATTGTGCCCTCCTATTTCTGATTACTTTTCTTAGTATCTTGCAAAAAATTAGCATTGAATGTAATTAAATGGAAATTTCTGAGTGAGCCCCTGTGGCTCCCTAAAGCTATTATGCTGATTTAGTGCCATACTACTAGGTGCCATCAGTCACAGTTCTTACTAGCCTACCGGAGAACACGAGCCAGAACCTGGCCCCCTCAGAGAGGCACAGGAAGCGGTGGCACTATGAACACCTTACATCTAAAGTTATTCATGTCTGTCACTAACAGGAAAGCACCCACAAAGTCATTGAAACAAAACACACTACTTCATAGTTAGAAACAAGACCAAAGCCTCAAAACTGCCAAAACAACTCTCCAACAATGTAAACAAATAACCACAATTTTGTGAAACTAGCACGAACTAGTTCGCCCCATCTCCAGCCCTCATGTGAAGGGAAGAAGTCAAGGCAGGTGAGCTGGTCCCTCCACCACTAGTTCTTATGATGGAAACACCCTGATGCACTGGGGGAGAGAGGGTGTTAGGGAGCCACTCGGGCTCACACAGAAATTGGCATTTCATTACATTTAAAACTGGTTTTCTGAGGGTGCCCCCTGTGGCTCCCTGAAGTTAATCACCCCACAGAGAAGGAAAAAAACCAGTGTTGAAAGTAATGAAATGCCATTTTCTGGGTGAACCCCAGAGGCTCCCTGAAGCTATCGGACTGATATTAGCTATATTAGTCTGGGGCTTCAGACAGATGGAGTCCTTATGCCTACTGAGAACCACGAGCCAGAACCTGGTTCCCTCAGAGAGGTGCAGGGAGCAATGGCCTATGAAAACTGCACTCTTTGAGAGTATATACACGTCTGTCATCGACCAGAGTTAGGCACCCAGAAAGAAAGGTGCCCCCAAACAGACCCCAACTGGTAGAAAATTGAACCAAAGACCGAACAGAGCCTAAGACCTTCCCCCAAG